TTTGGGAAACTGTTCATGGTTACATTTGTTTATTTCAAAGGTGTTGGCACATTTTTAAATATAAATGTTTAACCAATTGTCCTTAAATTAATTAAAGGGTCTAACTTCAAAAATATTCTGAGAATATGCCACCTCAACTCCATAAAGGGCCACCTCTGAACCAACTCCTTAAAATTGCAATTATATATATAGTTATGTCAAAAGCTACAGCTAACCAAGTCACCACATAAGAGCAAAATGCTGTGAATGCCGGAAATCCGAAGTGAGCACAGAAAATGCTGGTGAAACTCAGAAGCAGCATCTGTGGAGCAAGAAAGACACGAGTGATGTGGGTCTGGTATGACTCTTCTTCAGAACTGAAGTGTTTATTTCAGTTATACTAGTACCTACAATTTCAGAAAGCATTAAAATATCATCGAAGCACAACAAAATCCTTTGGCAGTGAGGAAATAAAATCTGGTAACCAGCAACATCATAAACGCCATGGGAAGACCGAAATCTCTAGAATCAAGAGGTTTCTTCACTACCAGAATTTGACTGAACCATTGTGTTCAGTATTCACTCACTCAAGAAATCAGGCTGTATATTCCCCCTTGTCCTCACATATCACCCCAGCAACCTCCACATCCAACGTATCATTCTCCACCACTTACGCCACCTACAATCTGACCCCACAACCGAAGATACACTTTCCTCCCCACCCCTATCTGCCTTTCGTAGGGACCGCTCTCTCCTTGACTCTCTCATCTGCTCCACACTCCCCACTAACCCCACAACGCCTGGTATCTTTCCCTGCAACCGCAGGAAGTGCTACACTTGCCCTTACACCTCGCCCCTCACCTCCAATCACGGCACAAAACAAACCTTCCACATCAAACAGGGGATCACCTGCACATCTGTCAACTTGGTCTACTGTATCCGCTGCTCCCGATGTGGCCTCCTCTACATCGGTGAGACCAAACGTAGTCTTGGACAGTATTTTGTGGAGTATCTGCGCTGTGTATGTGACAAATGACAGCACCTTCCGGTCACCAACCATTTTAACTCCCCCTCCCACTCCCTGGGTGACATGTCCATCCTGGGCATCCTCCAGTGTCACAATGACACCACCTGCAAACTGGAGGAGCAGCACTTCAGCTTACAGCCCAATGGCCTAAATATGGAATTCACCAGTTTTAAATTTCCCCACCCACGGCCTCATCCCAGGTCCTAGCCTCCCTCTCATCCCCACCTCCTTGACCTGACACAACCTGGCCATCTTCTCTCCCACATATATGCCTCTCCCATCCCATTGACCAATCCCCACCACTCCCTACCTGCACTCACCTATCATCATCCCACCTACCTTCCCCAGCCCCACAACTTTCCACTCCCCCTCTCTCTATTTATTTACCAGCTCCTTTCCTCCTCCCCAAATCTGAAGAAGGGTCCCAACCCGAAACATCAACTTTCCTGCTCCTCTGATGCTCCCTGGCTACCTGTGTTCCTCCAGCCCCATACTGTGTAATCTCTGGCTCCAGCAGCTGCAGTTCTGCTATCTCAGGCTGTATGTTTTGTTTGCTCAGTTTCTCAAATACAAGATTGAGAAACGCAACTGAGCCTTCAATGCTGACGACAGAAGTTAGGAATCAGTCATACAACCAGATTGATCCCAGGCAGGGAAGTAGCTAGCAAGGTAAATGTACATTAAAAACAGAAAATCCTAGAGATACTCAGCAGATCTGGTAGCATCTGTGGAGACAGAAACAGAGTTAATATTTCAGATTTGTGACCTTTCATCAGGAAAATGTATTGTCGGGTATGACTCAAAACCTAATAGTTGAGGGAGATGCCAGTTTTAATCCATGATATGGGGTGAGTTAACTGACCCTAAGTAGGGTTTGCATTGGGATGAAGAAAACAAAAAGTATTTTAGGGATCACACTCCTAGATGTTATTCAGTGAGTCATGAAGGAAAGATTCTGTGCATCTGTTAATCAGAGGATAGCCTTGATACCCTCCAAAACCCCAATTATCTGCGAATATTCACTATCCAGCTCACACATGGGAAATAAGCCCATTTGGGTGAAGTCCCAGATGCATGCTGGAAACACGGATCTCCACAATTCGATGTTTTCAGACGATAAAATTGTCACCCTTTGTACATGGTACTTGTGTGTTCGAATTTTAGTCATAAATATTGTGCGCACATTTAAATCAAATCCTAAACACCACAATTGTAAAGGCAAAGAAAGAAGAACAGAAAAAGAAATTACACAACAAAATCATCAAAAAGTGTCAAAGCATTGACTGCTGCAGTATGTGGATCTGCAGATATCTCAGTCAAACTCAGTGCTCAACAAATCTGATCAAATTATTTAATCCTCAAATCTGAGGTAAAGCAATGTTCAGATAAATGACACTTGTTCACCATGGTTGTGCACCATAGCAGCCATCTTACATCTGCTTGTTTGGGTGGGAAAGGGCAGCACAGTTTATTATGACACGATTGTGTGAAGCCTTTCACAATTTGAAGGGGAATTGTTAGGAATTTTGCATTAACCACTTGGTGAGACGATAGTCAAAGTTGAAAATGGTTGACCTTGGGGTGCATCTCGTTACCACAAAGGCAACTCTAGTTTGAAATCAGCTCTGACAGTTCCCAACAAGTATTTTGACCTCCCCCGCTCCTGTTAATTTGTCTTTTCTTCAAATACTTTCCTGTAGAAATTCCCATCTATTTAATCACACAGCTGCTCCAGCAATAAAAGAAAATCATATTTTCTTTGGGTCAGAGCTTAATTTTATGCAGTGAAAACTCCTTATTTGTATTTTACTTAACGTTAATGAATAAGGCTTCTTCTGGTCATTAAGCTCTTTCATTTGCTTTATTTAATGCATCATTCCATTACATTACTTACCATCAGGGGGAAATTACTGTGCAAGAAACGTGACTGTTATACTAATGGTTTGAAGAGGACACTGGAATAAAATATCTTTTGCAGTCCACCTACAACAATGCCTTCAAAAACAAAACGTAAGAACGTAAAAATAGGAGCAGGTTTAGCCCATTTTTCTGATTTCAAATACCCAAGTATTGCAGCCTCCTCACCAACTGCAGAAGGATGGAAAAGAGAGAGATTGTGAGAGAAAACATCAGCACAGCACTGATGAAGACGCTGTTCCTTGATCTGACAATAAGCCACCAGCTCAGATAATGCCACATAAAGTGATAGAGCTGGTTTATATGTTGTATCCAGATGCTGAGGTTATAGATGAGTTTTGCTGTGGAGGACTCAGATGGTGTAGCACTTGGAAAAGCACTGATGGGCAGAAAAAACACAATTCTAGTTACGTTAGTTAGCCTGCCAGGCAATTTCCTATTATTGCCAAGGTGCATGGAGGAATCCTGAGAGTAGAGAATCCGCAGAGAACCTGGTGTGGAGTGCTCCCTCTCTGATTCATTTCCATGTCATGTTGCAGACCCAGAGACACTGTCACTGTAGTTCCCTTTATCAGTTGCAATCTGTGTAGGCAGATCATTAAAATCTCCGCCCTCTACATAAGGATGCAGTAACTCTTTGTTAAGTACAGGAATTCATCTTTTTTGTGTTCTTTCTTGGGCTCTGAGCATTGTTCACAAGGCCAGAATTTGTTGCCTATCACTAACTGCCCTTGAAAAAATAGCTTATTGAACTATTGAAGACAACCTGGCATGGATATAACCTCAGTGCTGTTTGGGGGTGGAACCTCCAGGTGTTTGACTCAACAACAGTGGAGAAATTGTAACATTGTTCCAACAACTAATATATTACTTAAAGGGAGAGATCTGGGGAGGCCAACGTCCTGGCTTGGAGGAATTAACACACCGAACAGCATAGTGGAGTGCTTCTAGAGATTCTGTAAAGGCAAAACTTTTAAGCACAAAACAATGGCAAAACAAAATTATTCGAAACTGCCATATCTGGAAGTTGAATCCCTAATCCTTTAAGAACTGGGCCTCAAGAAACTGAAGATTTACTTTTCAATGATTGAAGGTAAATTTGAGCAGTGGACCTGTGTAGTTCAAAGTTAGAAGCTAGCCATCACTTTAGCTGTTAACAGCTTGATGCCTTCATGACAGCACAATATCCCGTGCATGCCCAAATGTCCTGGCTGATGTCCTTCTCAGCTTGGGGTGCCATGCAGGTTGTGCATGAAGTGTAGCATGCTCCATTAATTATGCAATCAGTGTCTGAAGCAGTGTCTTCAAAAACTTGCAGGATACACACTTTAAACAATTTCATTATTTCTACCATATTTCCTAGCATTATAGCCCATGTGTCACCTTCTTGCCGACTCATACAATCTATCTGCCCAATATTAGCTTTGTAGAAGTATTTTTTTTTCAGTGAGTTACAGTCACAGCCATGTTTTCTGAAATATAAAGCATTAAATCTGACAGTGTGATATGCTGTTGAGATGTAGTATACATCAGCAAGGGAAGTAATGTAATGTGTCACATGGTCTTGTACTCAGCTGGTGGCAAGATTAAGTCACAGTATGATACTTCTTAAATACAGGTGACTTTTTTAATTTCAAAAATATACATTATTCATAAATAATATCTTTATATATATTATATATATATACTATATATATAGTCACTAAAGCAGTTCAGTTCTATACAGTAGAATGTGAAGGACAAAAACAAACATTGGAGTTTGACTCTATGCAACAAACAAATCCAAAGCATATCTGACTTGTGCAGGATTATATTTACATACATTTGAGGCATGGGAGATTCCGATCACTGAACACCATTGATGTTCTCCTTACCTCAGCAAATTTGAAAAAATATTCTTTAGCAACACCACAAGACCAAGAATATGATATTTTGCTCATAAGTTAACATCTTTTCAGGTATAATTAGTTTGATAATTCTCTGGTTATCAGATACTGCTGGTCTACTGTTCTTTTGTGTTTATGGACTGCAAGTTGCATGCAACGGAAATTCCAGAAAATGGTGGCTGAAATCTGACCTGGTCCTTGCTAAGTGGAATTTTCCAGAAATTGTAATCAAACTGCATCATATGATCATCGGCAGCCATGGTCTAGTCCAACAAAGTCTGTTAAAAAAAACAATAAAGTATAGCTTTTAAAAATAAGTTCTGACCTCTTTCAGGTCTTGTGAACTTGACACATGTATGAATGTCTTACCTGAGAAATCAAAAGAGTTCTCAGAAAAAAATAGAAAGCAAATGGGAAAATCCTGAAAGTGCGTATACATCATGCGCAATTGAAACTGAAAAGAAAAAGAGATGAGGAATCAATTAGAGGATTTGCTTGTGCTTATGATAGAAAAGGGAAAAGGAAGAAACACATCAGAGTCTTATGAAATTGAAAAGAAAATAAAGAATGCATGTTGGCGAGTGAAAGAAAAGTGTATAATGAGGTGTGTGGTGAAGTATTGGAGCTGGAAAGAAATTGCAAAAATAAGATTTAGACAGACCCAAAGGGAAAATCTTTGACCAACAGAAAGAAAGAAATAAAAATTGATAAGTGCATAAAAAGGTAGTAAACTGTTATTTAAAACAAATTCAGTAGCAAGAAAATAGACAGAATAAGTTATACAATGATGAAAATCAAGTGAGTCCTCAAGGATATAGATGCAAACAACGTGATTCTGATATCAATCGTAAAGAATGCTTTGAAATAGATAAGCAGAGGAAAACTTCCAGGCAAAGATAAAACAATAACATAACATCTAAAAGTCCTTGGGGGAATAGAATTAAAAGTGATAACAGAAATTTGTGATCAACTGTATATCAAAGAATACATTCAAAGTGACTTGAGACATTCATTATTCTTGAAGTCAACTAAGAAACCTAAAGCGATGGAGTGCAATCATTTTATAACTACAAGCTTAATGAGTCATCTCATTAAAGTAATATTATTAAAATGAGAATAGAAAGAAATCTTAAGAAGTGAAGCAGACTACTGAAACACAGTCTAGATTCAGAACTGGAGTAGGACAAGAGAGAAATAATTAATCCAGGAACAATCTTTGATAAGTATCTAGAAATATCTAGAACAAGAACATTTACAAATGTTTCATAGACTATGAAAATGAAGTTGATCACTTTTATCACCAAACATTAATGGTACATTGCTGAAATGTGGCATTGACAGCAAATACATGGAATTAAACATAACCTATATTGAGAACAGGGTGCTCAGTTGGCTGGATTGCTGGTTTAGAACCCTAAAAGCCTAGGTTCAATTCCTACACTGGCTGAGCTTACCCTTTTCCCCTTCTGAACCTCTCCCCTCACCTGAGGTGTACTGACCCTCAGGTTCAACCACCACCAGTCATCTCTTTCTAATGAGAGAGCAGCCCTATGGTCCAAAATAGCGATTTTATATTGATATCAAATAGTGGGTATCAAGTAAGAAACATATCAATGAAGAGAAGAGTATGACTAACCTATTTATTGTCTTCAAACTTTTTCAATCTGCACACAGAACAAATATTCAGAGAATTAAATGTATTTCCAATGGTAAAACTTAGAGGCAGGAACGTAATAAATTCACAGTGCACAGACAACTCAGGACTACTTTCAGGATCAGAAAAGGCCCAGAAAATATTGCATGAGGATATTATTAATTGGAGAAGGTTCAGAAAAAAATTTACCAAGATATTGCCAGGACTAGAGGGTATGCATTATAAGAAGAGGTTGGATAGGCTGGGACTTTTTTCACTGGAGTAAAGGAGGCTGAGGTGTGACCTGAGAGATGTTTATGAAGGGCATAGATAAGGTGAATAGCAAAGGTGTTTTCCCTGGAATGGGGGAGCTCAAAACTAGGCAGCATATTCTTAAGGTGAGAGGAGAAAGATTTAAAAGGGACCTGAGGGGGCAACATTTTCACACAGAGAGTGGGTTCTTAGTGGAATGAACTGCCAGGGGAGTTGAGAGATGCAGATACAGATACAACATTTAAAAGAAATTTTGACAGGTACATGAATAGGAAAAATTTAGAGGACTATGGGCCAAATGCAGGCAAGTGGGACTAGTTTAGTCTGGAAAACATGTTCGGCATGGATAAGTTGGACCGAAGGATCTGTTTCCGTGCTGAATGACTCTATATCAAATAAAATCGACAAGTTTTGAATATTGATTGAGTATGAATGCCAAAAAGATGGGAACAATGCAAGGTAAAAGGGATATATTGGAAGAAACTCTAGTGAAGACTGAAGTAGATGGTGCCACTGGAAGAAATAGATACATTTTTCTCTTTAGGAGAAATGAAAAATTGGGATGGATTGTTTAAGTTACATCCTTTTCCAGTACTATTTCTTCATTATTAGTGATTGCTTGGATATCCTCCTTCTCATTAGATCCCTGGTTGCCCATTTATTCCTGATGTGCTTCTTGCATCATCCAGTGTGAAGACAGAAGCACAGCATGATGGCTCAGTGGTCAGCACTGCTACCTCATAGTGCCAGGTACCCAGGTTCAATCCCAAACTTGGGTGACTGTCTGTGTGGAGTTTGCACGTTCTCCCTGTGACTATGTAGATTCCTCCTAAAGTCCAAAGATGTGCAGGTCAGGTGGGTTGTCCATAGTGTCCAGGAATGTGTAGGCTAGGTCGGTTAGCCATGGGAAATGCAGGGATGGGGCGAGTCTGGGTGAGATGCTCTTTGGAGAGTTGGTGCAGACTTTTTGGGGCAAATGGCCTGTTTTCATGCTGTAGGCATTCTCTGAGAAGCACGATATTTGTCTAACTTCTCTGCCATTTCCTGATTCACCTATTATAAATTTTCCTGTCTCAGCTTTCCGAATATGAAGTAATTACACGAGCTGCTGAAGTACAGCAGAGCTTGTAAAATCAAAGCATGACTGGGCATCATAAATAAAATATTTCCTGTTCTATATCATGGCAAACCCATCATGTTTTTTTTTCTTTATTTAAGGAAATGTACAGAGAAGTGTCTCTATTTCTATTTGGCAAAACAATTCATCCATACTTGTAATCTTGCTACTGATAAGACAGAGGATGCAAACTGATATTGTGTCATTTTGCGAATTTTGTGAATCATTTGGTACACAATCAAAGTGACACTGGAATGACTTGTACTCAGTCCTCCCTAGTCCTCAACTGAACATAGCAGGATCTGAGAATGCCACTGATTTTTGAAAATTAAGATTAACTATGCCAACAGCATGAAACTGCTCAAAACACCACCTCTGAGTTAAGGAACTCAACTGACATTTTTATTAATCAATGCTCATAGTAATGAATATATTTGTGGTATATTTGACTCCTGTTTGCACTTACAGCAGCTCCCTCCCCTTTTGTTCTTTATCTGTCTGACAGGATAAATTTCTCAGATTGATCATGCCAGTTCTGTTGAAGATTTAGAACAGGAATATTAATCTGTCGGATAGTTTTGCATGCTGTCTCTTCCGTGTATGTAAAGGACTTTGAGCTTTCTTTTTGGAGATTACCATTTATTTTTAAAATTATAGAATCTCACAAGCAGATGAAAGCCATTCAACTTATCATGCTGATGACAAGTTTGAAAAAAAATGATAGTTTTGCACTGCCAGTTTTCTGCGTAATCCTGCAAATCAAGTATAAATCCAATTGCCCCATAAAGTGAAATCTGATATCCAACAGTCTTTCGAGCAGTCTGTTTCAGATTTTAAAAATTCCATGTGAAGAAATTTCTCCATATTACCTACATTTCCTTTCTATGCCAATTTTAAATGTATCAATAAAAATTATTGACCCATTTGTCAAATGAAATAGATTCTCCCTACTTGCCTTATCTTGAATGTCATTCTTGGTTCTTTCTATAGTTTAAACTGGGAATCTTAACCTTAAGCTGTGAACAATCCCAGTTTATCAATTTTTTTCCACATAGCTGAAGTTGCTTATCCTAGCGAGCATCTGCTAAACCTCTGCTGTACTCTCTCTGGGATCTTTACATCTCTCCTGGAGTGTGGAGTCCAGAACTGCAGCCAATTCCCCGCATAATGCTGAATCAGAGATTTGCAAGAATGCATCATGACTTCCTTATTTTTGGATTTAATTCCTCTACTTATAAAACCAATTGTCATTACTTACAATGTTACCGAGCTTGTGTTTTTCACAAACTTCGAGATTGTATTCCCTGTACTCTAGTTCATGTCATTCACCTATCACATGAAAAAGAATGGTCTGAGGGATGGGATTGGGATCGGGGCACTATTTCCTGCAGGAAGACATCCATTATTCATTACCTCTTAGTCATTAGTTGCAGATGACCATGTCATCAATCCTGTCTGGGAAGAAAATGCTGAAGTCTGGCTTTACATCTTCACAGAAGCACATCGAAGATTCAATCTCAGCCTCAACCTCAAGAAGACTCAAATCCTTTATCAACGTGTCCTTGGGTAATTTCCAGTCTATCCTTCCATTAAAATCAATGGAAAAGTCCTCTCAAATGTGGACTATTTCCCCTTTCTGGGAAGCTACCTCTTATCTAAGGCTGACATCAATGCGGAGATTCAAGAATGCATGCAATCTGCGAATGCCACATTGGAATGCCTAAAATCTTCGATGACCGTAACATCTGTGCTGATACCATGATCCTTCAGTATAAGATTGTTATCTTTCTGACTCATCTGTATGGCTCCAAAATTTGAACTATGCATAGATGCCACCTCAAGGTTCTTGAGAAATACTATCTGTCTGAGATGGATCCTCTGCATCTTCTGGATGAATGGGCATTCTAACATCAGTGTCCTTGAAATGGGTAATGGCACCAATGATTATCTGAAGTCAATTCCACAGGGCCAGCTACGGGCTTGGGATACCTGAGTTCTGAATGCAAATCTTCTTCACCCAGTTCAAGGAAGGCACTCAAATGAGAGAATGACAAAGGAAACATTTCAAAAACTCTCTGAAGGCTTCCCTCAAGATATGCAATGTAGATATCAATGTCCAGGAGACCCTCATTCAGAGGAAACTGACTGGGAGGAAGCTCCTGTACTAAGGAACACAATTTTTCGAGAACACTTGGCAGCAGCAAGTATGGAAAAAAGAAGGAATGTCAGTGATTTCAAGGCAAAGGACCAATTCT